TGGAGACCCTATGTCTGAACTAAACATCAACTAGGGAGTGAAGACCCTAGGTTGGAAAAGAGACTAGGGATTCGAGACCCTATGTTTGAACTAAACATCAACTAGGGAGTGGAGACCCTATGTTGGAAAAGAGACTAGGGAGTGGAGACCCTATGTCTGAACTAAACATCAACTAGGGAGTGAAGACCCTAGGTTGGAAAAGAGACTAGGGATTCGAGACCCTATGTTTGAACTAAACATCAACTAGGGAGTGGAGACCCTATGTTGGAAAAGAGACTAGGGAGTGGAGACCCTATGTCTAAAATAAACATCAACTAGGGGGTGGAGACTCTATGTTGGAAAAGAGACTAGGGATTGGAGACCCTATGTCTGAACTAAATATCAACTAGGGAGTGGAGACCCTGTGTCCAAAAATCATCAACTAGGGAATGGAGATCTTATGTTGGAAAAGAGACTAGGGAGGAGACTCTATGTCTAAAATAACATCAACTAGGGAGTGAAGACCCTATGTCAGAAAAGCACAGCTAGGGATTGGAGACCTTATACTACCATGATTTGGAACTTTCTTTCTTTTTCTTTTTCTTTTTCTTTCTTTTTTTATTTCAAATAATGAGTAAATGCGGGAAAGAATTTGGAGGAGACTTCCCTTTTGGAGTGGTTGCTACAAAGTTATTTCTAGCCTTTGCGCAATTTCATTTTGGTTGCACCTGCTTCTTGCAAAGTTGCTTTTGGATAGCACATGTTTCCTGTTTCTCAAACAAAGAAAATTTTGTCATTTTGAAACGGTGGTTGGTTTTGTGGCCTTGATTGTTTTAGTCACTTGATCTCAGCCCTTTCAATTGTAACTAGTTGTTTCCTAAAAACTGATTATATTTCTAACCTTGGAGAACCTCTGGCTTTTCAAAACATTACCATGATGGTTGGTCGCGTGGGATTCAACCTTTTTTGACTTTATTTTGTCATTGTAGGCCTTTCACTTCTGACTTGTTTTTTTTTCAAATTTTAACTTCGGAACATTGGGGAACTTTTGGCTCCTCAAACTTTGCTGCAACGGCTAGTCGCGTGGGACTTAACCTTTTTCAACTTCATTTTGCCTTCGTAGGCACTTCAATTTGATTTCCTTCTTTCGAGAGTTTTCAATTTTGGAGCGTTGGCTACCATGGCCAGTCGGGGTCAACTTGATGCACCTACCGAGGCTGGGTACCTTCTTGAATATTGGCTTGTATCAGTCAAAAAGGTTGTAAATCAATCTTGCCATCCTTTCTTTGTCTTAGTTTCAGAACAGAATTAGACCGAAAGGGATTCAAAGAAAAGCAAACAATGAAATGGACAAATGAACTTAGACGAGAGGTATCCCTTTCGGAGAAAGGAAAGAAGGACTTATCTGGAGTATATGCGGACTTCAATGAACATGACATGCCTTTTGGAATGGATGCCTGATCTGCGTAAACCGTCCAACTCTCAGAAATTCATCATAACTTATACCTCAAAATTAAGAAACCTTGCCAGGACTCTGCCGATGCCGATGGCTGTGAGGATCCCCTTTTCGATCAGTGATGCCCATTTTGGATTTTTACCAGCTGGCCTCTCTTATTTCTCTTCTCATCGTCGCCTTATAGTGCTCTTTGCGAGTTTCCACTAACAAGACTCTCTCATTTTAATTTCTCTTCTTACCATCGCCTTACGGTGCCCGTGAGGATTTTCACCAATAAGACTCTCTCATTTTATTTATCTAATTTTGTTGTATCAGATCCAAGTAATTGTATCCTCCAAGTTGAACATCTTTACCGATTGATCAGAAGGACTTGAACAGGGTTTTGGGGTAAAAAGCATTTGGATTGAATTATAACCTTGGAACCTTTCAGGCGAACCACATCGCCGAACCATTGTAACTTCTGCCCCAGTTTCAACTTTTGGGGGAATTTGAATTTTTATTTTGGTGTGACTGAACCCCAGAGAGAGGTTGCCTACGTATCCTTTTGGAATCAAGTCGAACGTAGTTCAAGGAACTTTTGTTTTTGATTTCTTTTGTTTTCTTTCTTTTTATTTTCATTTTTTCATCTATTTTTTCCATTCATATTTTTTTTTCGTTCATATATTTTTTTTAACATGACTTTCTGGTTCCAAAGAGGGTAATCAAAGAAAAGGGAACCGGTTCAAAGGGTTTGCAAGGGTTGGTAGTGTTTGGGTAGCGAGAATGAAAGCCTTTGTCATCCCAATCAGAGAGTATTAAAATCGCGAAAAGGGTCAAACATAATATCTTTTGATCGCATCTGCATTGACAGTTGTTTCGGGGTCATTTCATTCAATGTCTCCCAAGTACAATGCTCATTTCGACAACAGTTTTCTTATAATATACGGACCTTTCCAATTTGGAGCAAATTTTCCTTTTTCTTCCTCATGATGTGGGAGAATACGTCTCAGCACGAGTTGCCCCACTTCGAATTTCCTAGGCCGCACTTTCTTGTTGTAGGCACGGGCCATTCTTTGTTGGTACAACTGCCCATGGCAAACTGCGGCCATCCGCTTTTTATCAATCATGGTCAATTATTCCAACCTGGTCTTGACCCATTCATCATCCTCGATCTCGGCTTCAACAATGATTCGAAGAGAGGGAATTTCAACTTCTGCAGGTATTACGGCTTCAGTGTCGTAAACCAATAAATAGGGCGTGGCTCCAACTGATGTGCGCACGGTTGTGCGATATCCCAATAATGCAAAAGGCAGCTTTTCATGCCACTGTCTAGAACTTTGGATCATTTTCCTGAGGATCTTCTTGATATTCTTGTTTGCAGCTTCAACGGCGCCATTAGCTTTGGGCCGATAAGGGGTAGAGTTACGATGCGTAATCTTAAATTGTTCGCATACCTCCTTCATCAAGTGGCTATTCAGATTTGCAACATTGTCTGTAATGATAGTTTTAGGAACACCAAAACGACAAATAATGTTGGAATGCATGAAGTCCACCACCGCTTTCTTGGTGACGGCTTTGAAATTGACTACTTCAACCCACTTTGTGAAGTAATCAATGGCAACCAGGATGAATCTGTGCCCATCTGAAGCTTTCGGCTAGATTGGCCCAATAATATCCACACCCTAAGCAACGAACGGCCAATGTGCTGACATATGATGCAACTCTGAAGGCGGTGCATGAATCAGGTCACCGTGTATCTGACACTGATGGCACTTCCGGGGAAAACTGAAGCAATCCTTTTCCATGGTCATCCAGTAATAACCCGCCCGAAGGGTTTTCTTTGCAAGGACATATCCATTCATGTGAGGTCCACATACTCCCTAATGTACCTCATTCATGGTCTTTTCAGCTTCTCGGGCATCTACGCACCTCAAAAGATTCAAATCTGGAGTTCTTTTGTACAAAACTTCTTCGCTCAAAAAGAAATTGCTGGCAAACCTTCTGATAGTTCTCTTTTGATCTCCACTAGCCTGCTCGGGGTTTTCCTTTGTTTTCAAAAACCTTTTGATATCATGATACCATGGCTGAACATCTGGTTCTATTTCAATTGCATTACAATAACCATGCCTTTCTCGAATTTGGATTTCCAACGGGTCAATATGGAGGTTGCCAGGATACGGCAGCATTGAGGCCAACGTAGCTAATGCATCTGCTAACTCGTTGTGGAATCGAGGAATATACCTGAACTCGACGGACTTGAATCATTTGCTAAGATCTTCCACATGTTGCCTATATGGGATAAGCTTGATATCTCGAGTTTCCCATTCACCTTGGGCTTGCCGAATGATCAAATCAGAATCTTCCATGATTAACAATTCTTCCACATCCAGATCAACTGCCATATTCATGCCCATAATGCAGGCTTCATACTCAGCAGTGTTGTTGGTACAGAAGAATGGAAGCCGGGCGGTGGCCGAATAGTGCTGACCAGTGGGCGAAACCAAAATTGCCCCAATCCCGACACCTTTTGCATTTACAGCTCTATCAAAGAACATTTTCCAAGCATTGGTGTCTTCTGGAATTACTTCAACTGAATTTACTTCCTCGTTTGGAAAGTAAGTACTTAGGGGTTGGTATTCATCATCAACCGGGTTCTCAGCTAGATGATCCTACAAGTCTTGATCTTTCATTGCCGTGCGGGTGACATAGATAATGTCGAACTCCGTGAGCAGGATTTGCCATTTTGCTAACCTTCCCGTGGGCATTGGTTTTTGGAATATGTACTTCATGGGATCCATTCTGGTTATGAGATTTGTGGTGTAGGCCAACAAATAATGTCTGAGCTTATGGGCGACCCAAGTTAGGGCGTAACAAGTTATTTCCAACAAAGTATACTTGGCTTCATAACTGGTAAACTTCTTGCTCAAGTAGTATATGACTTGCTCTCTCTTCCCGGTCACATCATGTTACCCCAGGACACAGCTAAAGGAATTTTCCAAGACTGTCAGATACAAGAACAAAGGTCTTCCTGGCTCGGGTGGAACCAACACTGGCGGATTTGACAGATATTCTTTGATCTTATCAAAAGCCTCTTGACATTCATCTGTCCATTTGATCACTGTATCTTTCTTCAGCAACTTAAATATGGGCTCACACGTGGTAGTAAGCTAAGCAATGAACCTGCTTATGTAATTCAATCTTCCCAGTAGACTCACGACCTCTTTCTTGGTTCTTGGAGGGGGCAAATCCCGAATAGACTTTATTTTTGTTGGATCTAGCTCGATACCCCTCCGGCTAACTATAAACCCCAGAAGTTTCCCAGATGGAACTCTGAATGCACATTTAGTTGGATTCAATTTCAAGTCATACCTGCGTGGACGCTCAAAGAACTTTCTCAAATCTCGCACATGGTCTTCTTACGTTCTGCATTTAATGATCACATCATCCACATACATCTCAATTTCCTGGTGCATCATGCCGTGGAAAATGGCAGTCATGGCTCTCATGTAGGTTGCGCCATTAAATTGAAGACAGGAGGGTTTACATCAAAATTAAAGACAATAAAATAAAAACATTCGAGTTACACCCTGGAATAACTCGTAATGTAGAAGAGATGGCAAGACTGGTCTACCGGGACTCCCGTCTGACAGGGAATGGGGTAGCTTTCCAATTTTGAAGCTTGGCATCGGGCCCCATGTACAACACCTCGGCATTGCTCGTGCCTTCCCCGGGCTGAACCATGTGAGACTCATACAACATTTGTTTCATGGCTTCACAAATATCCTCAATCTCTTTGGTCGTGAAGGCCTCTTCTTCTACTTCTTCCGCATATTTGGGTTTAACGAATGACTTGGAAAGATGCGAAACGAGCTGGGGCAGGACCCACCCATTTTTCTTGCGCTCATCAGCCCATTTTCTGTCAGCCTATGTAGCTCGAAAACCTATACCGAAGAACTTCTCATTGGCTGTTAAAATAACGGGCTCTATGATGCCTTGTAGAGATACCCCGAGACTCTTTCCGGGCTTGTACCCATGTTTAATCATTTCAGTGGCAACCATGACCGAGGCATTAGATAAGCAGGGTTGAGGGAATGAAGCCCCTTCTTCGCATTGGTCGGCGACCACAATTTCAAAAGTTTGGTATACAATTTGCTCACTTCCTTCTCTAGCTTCGAGACACGGGACTCAAGGGTCCCTGTAAATGGACTGTACATCCTCCCCATGGACAACAATTTCTTGGTTTTCAAACTCAAATTTGACCATTTGATAGAGAGTGGAGGGCACAACTCCTGCAACGTGAATCCATGGTCTTCCTAGGAGAAAATTATACGAAGTATCCATGTTCAGAACCTGGAAAGTCACTTCGAAGTCCATGGGGCCAATGGTCAAAATCAAATCAATTTCCCCTATTGTGTCTCGCTTGACACCATCAAAAGCACGCGCACAGATATTGTTTGGCCGAATTCTTTCTATTCCAATTTCCATCCTCTGGAGCATTGAGAGAGGGCAAATATCAACCCCGGACCCGCCATCTAGCATGACCCTCTTCACATAATAACCTTCGCATTTGACAGTCAAGTGAAGGGCTTTGTTGTGGGCGGCTCCCTCTGGGGGCAAATTATCACGGCTGAAGGAAATCCTATTGACTTCGAAGAATCGTTCAGCCATTCTCTCCAGTCGTTCAACTGAAGTTTCAACCGGGACATATGCCTCGTTCAATGTTTTCAGGAGTACCTTCTGATGTTCATTCGAGCTCAATAACAGATATAGAAGCGAGATCTGGGAAGGAGACTTCCGAAGTTGGTCAATTATGGCATATTCCGAAGTTTTCATTTTTCGAAAAACTCATCTGCTTCTTCAGCACTCACAGACTTCTTGGGTAGAAACCGTTTCTCCTTGTTCAGTTTTAACTTCTTTAGCTCTTCTAGGTTGTGGTACTTCCCTGATTCGTTCATTTCGTTCACTTATCCCATAATCTTTTTCCCCTTGTAAGTAACCACTGATTTGCTATAATTCCAGGGGACTGCAGTGGGGTCTCTCATAGGGCTCTGTGATGCGCGGCTGATAACCACGGGCTCAGTCAGCTTTGGTGAAATTACCGGCCCCCGCGCCACATAAGTCCTTTTTGGCACATACAACTTTGGCACATTTAGCGTGAATTTCCTTTGCTCAAATCTTTTGGGAGTGTTCAACATGAGTTATTCTTTCCTTGGGGCCCTAGGAACATAGAGAATTACGTCCTTAGCAGGTGTTTCCCTAGTATTTGTTTCTACAGCTTTTTCTGCAACTTGAGGGATTTGAGTGATTTTCTCCTCATTGCTGGCTTGTTTTGCTGTCGCTTTGGGTTTTGCCTCCGAATCGGCAATGGCAATGATGAATTTTAAAGTTGGATCAAACTCTTTATCATCACAAATCATTCCAATGACTGGCCCATTATTGTGAGCCGGTAATGGATTGTTAGTCACATTGGGGACTTCCTCGTCCCTCAGCACCACTCATTTTTGTTCTATCAAATTCTCAACTGCCCTCTTGAGAGTCCAACAATCCTCTGTATCATGATCCTCTGCCCCCGAATGATAGGCACACCTGGTATCGGGCCGGTATGATGGAGATTTCGGATTTTGCCAGTTTAGAGGCACAGGTTGCAATAGGCCCATCTGGATTAATTTTGGAAACATGCTAGAGTAGGACTCACCAATAGGGGTGAAGTCATTTCTCTTGGGAGGCTCACATGGGCGTGTATTATGTTGGTAGTTATTTTGTGGTGGGCGGGGGTTATATGGAGCTTGGTGAGGATGGTTATTTCTGGGAAGTGGAGCTCGATTTTGGTTGTAGTGCTGTTGTGGCCGTGTATAGGGTTGGGCATTCATCACCGCATAGGGAGGCGGTGCCACGACATATGCTGCATCTTGATGGGGGTAGTAGTGTTGTGTGGTTCTGGGAGGCAGGTAAGAATGATCACGGGATCGACGGGGGTCTCTCGAACCCGAAACCATCATGGCTCCTTCTTCCCTCTTCTTTCGATTTTCTAAACCTCCCGAGCCGTTCTGGGTGGCTTGGTAGGTGGCTCTCAAAGCAGATTGACTTATGATTTGGCTAGTTTTCAGGCTATTTTCTACCATTTCTCCGATTTTTATGGCCTCTGCAAAAGGTTTGCCCATGGCAGACATCATGTTCTGAAAGTAATCGGCCTCTTGGGCCTGCAAGAAAATATTGACCATTTCTGTCTCATCCATAGGCGATTTCACTCTGGCTGCTTGCTCACGCCACTTGATAGCATATTCACGGAAACTTTCCGCGATTTTCTTCTTGAAATTGGTTAAGGAATTCCTATTTGGAGCTATATCAACATTGTATTGAAATGGCCTAACGAAATCTCGGGCTAAGTCATCCCATATATGCCAATGGGAGATGTCTTGGTCCATGTACCATTCTGACATAATTCCCGTCAAGATCTCCCCGAAATATGCCATCAAAAGTTCTTCTTTTCCACCCGCCCCTCTCAGCTGATTGCAATATCTTTTCAAATGAGCGATCGGGTCTCCGTGCCCGTCGTACTTTTCGAATTTTGGCGTTTTAAAGCCAACGGGCAAATGAACATGAGGAAACATGCATAGATCAGAGTACGAGACACTCTTTTGGACACTCAGGCCTTGCATGTTCTTTAGGCTTTGTTCGAGCTCTTCATCTTCTCAGCCATCTCTTCTTGTTCGGGGTTTCTCACTGCTCTTTCCTGTTCCATGGGAGACTCAAACTGCGGGTGCTAAGGGTAAGAGTTTGGGGTAACATGAGTGGTGTCTAGCTGAAATTGGGGGACTTTAAAAGTGAAAGTTGAAGGCTCGAAGCATGATCTGGGCACTGTTGGTTGTGCCATAGTAGAGACTGGTGGTGCAGTGAATAACGTAGAAAGTACCCCTGAAAACGGTTCCTGGGGGCAAACCTCAGAAGGCATACCGGTGAAATTGACTGATATAGTGGGGTACCCAAACTGGATGAATGGGTTGGTTAAGGGGAGCAAACATAGCCCTAGAATCTTCCCTTCTGAAGTGCTGAAGGGTCGTATCTGCTAAAGTAGCCGTGATTTGTTTTAAATTGAATTTTGCTAAAATAATCTTTTCTGATCAGTTTTCAAACAAAACTCACATGTTTTAACCCAGTCACCCTATTTTAAAAATGTGCAGAATGAGCATTGTTCAGAATTTACCGGTGAAGGTCATGGATCAGATTCCACTAGCTCTCCACATGTGGTGAGAAGACTTGGGAAAGCAAGGGCAAGACAAGGTCAACCGATACCTAGGGGCACTCACTGGACTATTGAAAATTCAACCTAGAAGGGATTTGATAGAGGCACTGGTTTCGTTATGGGATCCCGCTCACAATGTTTTGTATTTCTCAGATTTTG